AAAGCTAGATCCCGTCTCTACTAAAAATAGAAAAACTGAGGCAAGAGGATTGCTTGAGCCCAAGTTGGAGGTTGCTGTGAGCCATGACGTCACAGCACTCTATCCAGGGCAACTCTCTGTCTCAAAACAAAACAAAACAAAAAACAAATACTGTAATATATACTGTGGTGATTAAAATTCTTTTTTTTTGTTTTAGACAGAGTCTCACTATGCCCGGTAGAGTGCTGTGGCATCACAGCTCATAGCAACCTCAAACTCCTGGGTGTAAGCGATTCTCTTGCCTCAGCTTCCCAAGTAGCTGGGACTACAGGCACCCACCACAACACCCAGCTATTTTTTATTGCAGTTATCATTACTGTTTAGCTGATCCAGGCTAGATTCGAACCTGCCAGCCTTGGTGTATGTGGCTGTCACCGTAACCACTATGCTACAGGCGCTGAGCCTAAAATTCTATAGAAGTAAGTCTTAAAAGTCTTCAGTCAATATTATATATACTATACATGTAATATATAGTATACTTTGCATATATATCCTTGTATTGTGCTATTAAAGGTGTTGGGAAATAGGCAGGAGGGGAAAGTAACCATTTGGGAAAAGCACTTTCTCGTAAGCTCATTATCACGTTAGAGAGTAGGAATTTTGCCTTCAGGGTTCTAGGGTTTATAAAATAGGTCTGAAATGTTTCTCATTTCTCTCTCTCTCTTGCTTTTTTTCTCCTTTATCTTCCTCTCTTTTTTAGGTTTTCAAAACAAAAACAGAGTTGCAATCTTGGCAGAACTAGACAAAGAGAAAAGAAAATTACTTATGCAGAACCAGTCTTCAACAAATCATCCTGGAGCGAGGTATTGACTACTATTTTGGGGAGCTATTAATCATATATTTAAGAGAATTAATGGAAAATTTTTTGTTTTATTTACTTTAATTTTGTTAGGCACACAAATTTTAAAGCATAATGTTTTTATATTCACTGATTAAAAAATTTTTTCTTGGACCTGATAACTCAAATTGGTTGGCAGTGGTTTGTTTCCTTAACACTACAATTTAGGCTCAGTGCCTGTAGCATAGTGGTTAGGGTGCCAGCCACATGCACTGAGGCTGGTGGGTTTGAACCCGGGCCAGCTAAACAATGACAGCTGTAACAACAACAAAAATAGCCAGGCATTGTGGCAGGCGCCTGTAGTCCCAGCTACTTGGGAGGCTGAGGCGAGAGAATCTCTTAAGCCAAAGGTGTTTAAGGTTGCTGTGAGCTGTGTGATGCCACAGCACTCTACTGAGGGCAACATAGTGAGACCGTGTCTCAAAAAACAAAAAACAAACAAAAAGATAAACACTGCAATTTATATGTTGTGTTTTGTTTCTGTAGGGAAGGCTGAACTTTACTCATCTTAGTTCTTAGTTGGGATGGACCTCTGTAATAAAAGACAGATTTAGTAAGAGAAAAACAAGTTTATTAATGCATGCAGGGCACATTACAAGGAGAAACCTCAGTGAAAAGTAAATACGTACGTGGGAGAAAACTAAGAGGAAGGTTTGTTTGCAGATTCCGCTGGTACTGTCTGTGAGCTTAGAGTCTAGAGTTGTCTCCAGTAAAGGAGAATCAGTACCCAGCTTTAGGCAGAAGGTGGGAGGACAGAGAAAACTTCCCTTAGTTTGCTGCTGTTTGCATTCAGCTTAGAATAATTCTTATTTGGGTGACTTATTATGGCTTTCTTCCTTTCCTATTTAGACTTTTAAAAATTAAACTCTTCAGGCTGGGTGCAGTGGCTCACACGTATACTCCTAGCACTCTGGGATACTGAGGTGGGTAGACTGCTTGAGCTCAGGAGTTCAAACCAGCTTGAGCAAGAGCAAGACCCCATCTCTACTAAAAGTAGAAAAAATTAGCCAGACATAGTGGGACATGCATATAGTCCCAGATAGCTTGGGGAGGGGGACAAGAGGATCACTTAAGCCCAAGAGTTTGAGGTTGTTGTGAGCTATGATGCCACTGTATTCTACCCAGGGTGACAGAGTAAGACTCTGTCTCAACAACAAAAAAAGTTAAACTCTTTAATTTTTTTTTGTTTTTTTTTTTTTGATTAAACTCTTTAATTGATTAGATTTTAAATATTCTAGTCCAAATATTTAACTTTTATTTATTTTTGTTGTTGTTGTTGTTGCAGTTGTCATTGCTGTTTTAGCTGGCTGGGGCCAGGTTCGAACCCACCACCCTCAGTATATGGGGCCGGCACCCTACCCACTGTACCACAGGCACCGTCCCCAAATATTTAACTTTTAATATGGCTTTCCTTAGGGGAAAAGAAAATAAGTTTTGAATGGTTTTTGTTTGCTACTGAAATTTTTGCCAGTGGCCCATTTCTAGTCATTCTGCAAAGTAGGTAAAGTTTAGGTAACTTAATCATCTTTAGGATATGTCTCTGCCATATTCAGGATCTTCCCTCAGGTCTCTTATCCCATTTAGCCACCCTCATTCTCCTCTCTTCCTCTTGCTTTCTCTGAAAGTACTTGTCTGCACTCTGATTTACTTTCTCACTCACTCACCCGCCCACTGTCAGACTCTGACATAGAAGCCCTCCTTTTCCTTCCACCAAAGAATTATGTTCTTGCCTAGGTTGCCTGTAACCTTGTGGCTAAATCTGGCGAAACAGGTCCATGTCTTTTTTTTTTTTTTTAAGAGACGAAGTCTCACTTTGTCACCCTTGATACAGTGTGGTGGCATCATAGCCCACAGCAACCTCCAGCTCTTAGACTTAGGTAATTCTCTTGCCTCAGCCTCCCTAGTAGCTGGGACTACAGGCACCCGCCACAACACCCAGCTAGTTTTTCTATTTTTTTAGTAGAGACAGGATCTTATGCTGGCTCAGGCTGGTCTTGAACTCCTGAGCTCAGGCAATCCATCCGCCTTAGCCCCAGAGTGCTGGGATTATAGCTGTGAACCACTGTGCCTGGCCTGGAGGAAACTATCTTGATTTCTTTGTAGACATTTCTCCACCTTTCTCTTGACTATTGACATTCCTCTGAGTTCTGTTCCAGTCCAGACCTCCTAGTCTACATCTTTTCATTGGACAGTTGCATCTACTCACACAGCCTGTTATTTATGTGCTGATAACGTGAGCATTTGCAAGTATAGTCCAGCCCTTTCTTCTAAGCACCACACTGCCTCCTAGACATCTTTACTTTGATGTCCAACAGGCATTTTAGACTTAGTATGATCCAAACTGAATGATCGACGCTGATCTTCCCTTCCCTCTCTCCAACCAACTACTTATTAATATTCTTGGGTTTCCTGTCTCAGTGAGTGGGGCAGTCTATCATCTACTATTTACCAAAGTCAGAGATGTGAATCTCAGTTGTTCATTATTTCCTTTCACTTCCATCTCTAAGCATTTACTATTCTTCCATGATAGAATTTTGAAATGTATCTCAAATCAGTCCATTTTTCTTCATTGCTACTGATGGTGTCCTGATTCTTAGACACTCTCATTTCTTGCCTCAGTTACTGTAACTGCTCCCTCATTAGATTTCCTGTGGTCTTACTCTTCTTGAATACATCATTTGTGTCAGATTGTTTTAATCTAGACATAACAGAAAACCAACAAAATTGGCATAAACATCAGGAGAGCCAAGATAAGGGACTTTCAAAGTGGCTTAATTCAGTGGCCACAGCAATTTCATCAATAGGGCAGCTTCCTTCATCTTTCCTTTCTGCCTTCCTCCATGTGTCAGTGGCCCTCTCAAGGTCAAAATATATCTAGAGTAGCCTAGGCATCACTTCCACGCTGAGCTACAAGAAAGGTTCCTGTGGTTAAGTCCCATTTGTAAGAGGGAGGAAAGTCTTCTAACGGACTACTGCCCGTCAAGTCCGGTTGCCCAGGTTGTGTACCTTTCTCTTGCCTCAACCAGAAGCCAGCAAGGGGAATGGCATTGTCTTATACCAGCAAGGTCTGCCGCCTGGGGCGTGAGCCTGGCCTGCCCTGCAGCATGTGACCAGGTGATTGAACCAAGTTGGGTTCCATTAGCAAGAGGAGAGAGCTAAATAGCCGTGGAGGTGACTGACATTGTCACTAGGGGTCTTTCTGAACCACAGTGTGATACTCTGATCATATCGCACCTCTGCCACTCAACACTCTTTTGAGGACTTCTATTCCTCTTTTCATAAGGTTTCCCTTTTTTTTTTTTTTTTTTGAGACGGAGCCTCAAGCTATCCCCCTGGGTAGAGTGCCATGGCATCACGCTCACAGCAACCTCCAACTCCTGGGCTCAGGCGAGTCTCCTGCCTCAGCCTCCCAAGTAGCTGGGACCACAGGCGCCCGCCACAACGCCTGGCCATTTTTTGTTTGCAGCCATCATTGTTGTTTGGCGAGCCCGGGCTGGGGATTCAAACCCACCACCTTAGGTGTATGTGGCTGGCGCCTTAGCCGTTTGAGCCACAGGCGCCGAGCCAGGTTTCCCTTTTTTAATGTTTTTCCTGCCCATTAGCCTTCCAGCTATATTGAGTGTCTTTATTAATTCTCCTGTTATAGCTTGTATCACATCTCATCATAACTACTGTTGTCTGTCAGCTTTCTCTGGCATATCTTTATACTCCTTGTGTTTAGCATGGAGCCACACATCCAGTAGCTGCTGGAGAATCTGGTGAATAAGTGCCTCTGAGTTTGATTGTTTATTCATAATAGTTCCGTCTATGTGGAACATGGTTATGATAATTTTTATACAAAAAAAATGGGGTTTTACTGTTGATGAATATCATGTGATTTAACTGTTTTAAAAATAATGCTAATAGGGATCACAATAGATTGTAGTACCTCAAATCTGTTTGAAAATAGAGATGGATGATAAATAATTTTTTTTTATTTTTTGAGGTAGGGTCTCCCTGTGTTGCCTTGGGTACAGTGCCATGGCATCATAGCTCACAGCAACCTCAAACTCTTGAGCTCAAGCAATTCTCTTCTCAGCCTCCCAAGTAGCTGGGACTACTGGTGTGCAGTACAACACCAAGCTAGTTTTTCTATTTTTAGTAGAGACAGGGTCTCACTTTGCTCAGGCTGGTCTCAAACTCCTGAGCTCAGGCAGTTTACCCACCTTGGTCTTCCAGAGTGCTGGGATTACACGCGTGAGCCACCAGGCTTGTCCTAACTATAAATGTTTTTTAAAAATCATTTGAAATTCTACTAAATAACATAGGCTCTCTTCATATAAATCAATGGAGATAGTGCGAGAAGGAAAAAAGACTTATTCTGGGAGATCTTTTTTATTCCTGTAAAGAATATATAATGAAAAATGTGATTCAGCAGTAAAGACACTTTTTAAGAGATTTATTGTACAGCATGATAACTATATTTAATGTTATATACTTGAAAACTGCTGAAAGGATAGATATTAAATAAAAAATGGTAAGTACATGAGGTTATAGGTATGTTAATTAGCTTGATTTAGCCATTTTACAACCTAAACAAAATATCAGAACTTCACATTATATGCTGTAAATATATGCAATTTTAATTTGTTAATTATACCTTAGTTGTTTTTGTTTGTTTGTTTTTGAGACAGAGTCTCAAGCTGTTGCCCTGGGTAGAGTGCGGTGGTGTCATAACTCACAGCAACCTCAAACTCTTGGGCTTAAGCGATTCTCTTGCCTCAACCTCCCAAGTAGCTGGGACTACAGGTGCCTGTCACAATACCTGGCTATTTTGTTGTTGTTGTTGTTCCAGTTGTCATTGTTGTTTTAGCTGGCCCGGGAAGGGTTCGAACCCAATAGCCTTGGTGTATGTGGTCAGCACCCTACCCACTGAGCTATGGGCATCGAACTATACCTCAGTTTAAAAAGATAACATACCATCATCAAAAAAAGGGATGCCCCTGCCTCAAGTAGCCGAGTAACTGAGATTGCCATTTCAGCATCGCACTCTCCAGACCTGCTCTGAATAAGGACTTCCGGGATCACGCCGAGCAGCAGCACATAGCAGCCCAGCAGAAGGCAGCTTTGCAGGTGAGCCAAGTGCAACTGACATTCTGGTCTCTTTGGAGATTTCCTGGGTCTTAGAAGCCAGCACGATAGTTATTTTATGTTTCAGTCGAGCAGTATCAATAAAAATGTTCCACATAACTGCAGTGGTTTGCTGATGTTCAGTCATGCCCAAAGGATTCGAAAGACTAATACAGCGGTAATGAAAGCATCTTTTATGGGGCTGACGCAGTCCTGATTGATTCTGTGTGGAACCTGCCAAGGGACTGCTTGTGTACAGAAGAGTTTAGGATATTTGGATGGATGGGAATGATCTTGAAAACTGAACTGGCTCGTTTAATAGTGCATGTATATTTTTTTCAAATTTGACATTGTTATTACATCCTTTGATAGTCTTAGTGGTTTGTTGTTTGGAGGGTTTTTTAAAATGTTTTTATTTATTTAATTTTTTTTGCAGTTTTTGGCCGGGGCTGGGTTTGAACCCACCACCTCCGGCATATGGGGCCAGCGCCCCACTCCTTTGAGCCATAGGTGCCGCCCAGTCAGGAAATGTTTTAAAGCTAACTTTGGTAGGATTAGGAAATGTGATGCTTCATCAGTTAAAAAAAATATTCTTCAGAGTAAATAAATGGTTTTAATGTTACATTCATTCATTTTGGGTAACAAGATTCCCAGAGACCTTGAACAAGACATTTTTTTTCCTTAGCTATAATCACCAGTAATCACGCCCTCTTCCCTGCTCTCCTTCCAATTATTACTCTTCTTTTTTTTTTTT